AGGTCAATGGCATGAAGTTCCTCCTCTGCTGCTTTTAAGGCAAAAGTGACATTTCCAAAGACCTCCATATTCCACTTTTTCAACACTGATCGAAGCTCCTTGGTTTATTCATTATGACAAAACCTGCCCAACCAGTAAGTGTAGACTCCTCCCAAGATTTCTTCACTATATTTTCAAATTTAGGATGGAGAGTCCAAGCATTTAGGAATCGAAACGGCCTTGGACCCCAATCCCTACCATCATCTTGCAATAACAAAGGGCAATGATTCGATACCCTTCTTTCCAGCCCCCATAATTTTAAGTTAGCCCAATTCAACCATTCATTTGGCATTTATGCTCTATCGATCCTGCTCCACCTTTCTCTTTCATTAGCATTACACCATGTGAATTGTCGTCCCATCATGGGTAAATCAATGAGCTCCAAATTTTCAATGAACTGATTAAATTCCTTCATCCCTTTATCTTTTCTTGAACACCCCCTACTTTCCCCAAGATTTCTTATTTCATTAAAATCACCAATTAAACACCAGGGACTGCAAAACATAAGTTTTCACCTACTTAAAACACTCCAAAATTTGCCTCTCTCATTCATTTCGTTTGGTGCATGAACATTTACAATAACACAATTGAAATCTGGCAAAAGAGTACCTGAAAGTATAATACACTGCCTTGTACAATAGCACTGAGAAAGTCTAAATACAGATGACTTCCAAATGCACAACAGCCCCCCTGCCCTCCCTTCTACATCAACGACTATATACTCTAAGTCATCATCAGGCCATAGAGACTTGAGGAATAATGATAAAACATCAGATTTCTTTGTCTCTAGGAAACAAGCGAAATCAATTTTCCTTTCCTTAAGTAAAGACTTAACCTTCCTCCTCTTTTCGGCTGTATCCAAACCCCTAACATTCCATGATAAGAGCTTCATTAATCCACTTTACAACACACCATAAACCCCCAATTACTTAGCAACTCAACTTGGCAAATTATTCACCACAGGAATTTCTATAATCCTGGGTAATGCCCTTTCTTTGTCATTGACTTCCATATCCTTTACTTTTTTAATCACTTCACCTTCCTTTCCATCAAAACATATACCTAGTGCTTTGCCCATACTAATTGTAGTTTATGCTTCCTCTTGTAACGCCTTGTCAACACTAGAAAGCCTTGCATTAATCCCCAGCATAGCTGTCGACCCAGACAGATCTTTACTTGAGCCTCTACCAAATGACCCTGATCTTGCACTTATCCTCACTTTTGCTCTGAACACAGCTCCTCTACTTCAGCTGCCCATAACTGCTGCACCTCATTTCCTCTCTCTTGTAACAACCCCGATTCCTGATTAACGTTAATCCATGGTTAATTATGCTTAATTGACAAGTAAGGTGAAATTCTGAATTAAATTGCATGTGTATGTTGCATAAAGTATGTCTATATATGTTTAACGTAGGAAAATTTGTTTGTGTTTTTCTTTCGGTTTGCAAATTAAAGGCTTTATCGGCATCCAAATGAGAAATCGGCTTAATTTATGTGCTAGTTAGGATTTATAGAATTTTATGGTAGGCTCAATTGAAATTCGATTTGGAACGATTAAATTAGATTCAACTAATGTCCATTAATTAACCTTTATTAAGCACACTTTTATTTAATGGCCTAATTAAGGCCTTAGTGGCCTCATTGAACACAAAAACACTTCCACTCACTCCTTTCTTCATCTACATACATCCTTGAGTCCTCTAAGACCCAAAATGTGAGAGAGAGTGAGAGGAGGGAGAATTCATCCAAGACTTGAGAATTTGAACTCAAACCAAAGAGGTGCTAGGAATTGTTGTCCATTGAAAAAGATTTGAGGGCCTCAACCTCAACCCTTGTAGCTTCAAGCCTCTAGGTAAGGAATTGAACTCTTAATTAAGTAATTGATGTAGATTCTACAAGATTATTGGTGAATTAAGCGAATTCATGTAGGAATTGCACTAGAATTGGAAAGAATTGGGCCATACCATGCATGCATGTACATTTTCTCACAAATTGAGCATGATTTCAAAGATTTCTTTCATGTATGTGTTCATCTCACTTACATTTTGGGAGTTCATCATGTTTTCTATCAATTTGCCAAATTTGATCTTGTTTTGAAGTGTTTGAATTCAAGAGAGTTCATGCATGTTGTATTCATGAAATATTCATAAAGTTTATGTTAGAATTTTATGCAATTGACAAACTCTTGGGCCATAATTTTGTGAAATAATCCTCAGTTCATCATGTTTTACATGTTTACTATGTTATCTCAACTTTTGGGGCCCAAGAGATGTGTTTTGAAGAGTTGAATTCATATTTTGAAGCTTGGGAGCAAATCTGAAAAACCCAGGATTTTGCTTCCACGCTCGAGCGAGGGATCCTACGCTCGAGCGACCATCTTTGTTTTCATGCTTGCGCTCGAGCGATAAAAGGCTGGCTCAAGCGTAAATTGCAAGCTCTCAGAATTTTTACGTGTGTAGAAGCACGCTTGAGCGAAGACCTGTGTCTCACGCTCGAGCGAGCGTCAAGCGGAGATTTCATGTAACCAGAACTTTTTCACATTTGCAGACCGTTCGAGCGAAGGAGTCTATGCTCGAGCGACCACTCACATTTGGCATGTCTGCTCGAGCGAATAAAGCCACACTCGAGCGAGACCCTGTTTCAGTAAAATTTTGGCTAAGTGTTTCAAGTACATTTTTGTATCCTCATTCCATCCTAGGCATTCCTAGGCCATGATTAAGACTCCATAATGAGATGAAAGACTAGTAACACACTAAGAACAAATAAAGTAAGTTATGTACAATCTGAGCGTTTGCGTTCAATGTATGAATCTACCATGTTATGTAGGTCACGCACCTCGGAATAAGTGAATTGATTTCCTTGCTGTCAAGTTGGAGCTACCAATTATCTGTGAGTAATAACTTACTAAAGTTATGTTCAAGTAAATTATTTTCTACTCACGGATTAGGAACTGTTTTATGAAATGTTATGTTTTATGCTATGAATGATTGTCCAAGTCTAACAAGTAATTATGACATAATGCTATGATTCAAGTATATGTAAGTTCCCGGTCCGGAGGTCCCTTATGGGACTGACAAGCCATCTATGCCCGGCTGGAGGTTCCTTAGTGGAACTGACAAGTTTACAAGTTCCCAGTCTGGAGGTCCCTTCATGGGACTGACAAGTTATTCTTACCTAACCGGACGTTCTTATATAGAATTGACAAGTATGATTTAAGATATTCTGTGTGTGATCTATCAGCGCTAATGGATGTATTATGTAAGACTATGCATGAACTCTGAATTCTATATATGCTCAGAATATGAATATGAATATGAATATGAATTTCAGTTTCAACCATAGTTATGGGACATCATTCATTAAAGTCTTTACTCTGTTATTATTTCACTTGGTTTTAGCTCACTATTTATATTATGTATGTAGGTGAGCAGGCACACGACCAAACCCAGAGTTGACGGCCTAAGTTCTGTTTTTGTCAGCCAACCCTTACGCATCCCGAGGAGGTTTCTAATGAAGTCAAGATTTGTGATTGTTTTTGTATAATCATGTTAGACTTTGTTTGTTTGTTAAGTTTTAGATAAGATGTTTGTTAATACACTACTAGAAGTGATATGTATAGGTTATGTCCCTCAACATCACTCATATATTTATAAAAGTTTTAAATGAAGCGTATCATTTACATCTTCACGGCTCAATGGACTGTATATTTATTTTGTATATTTACTTCCGCGTTTATGTTAATCAGTCAAGAGGCCTTTGGTAATCCAAGGATTACTGGCCGGTTACGACATTAAACTTGTAGGGGCGGGTTCAGGTCGTGACATAGTGGTATCAGAGCATATGTTCTACCACACACAAGTCCATATGAGCTTAGGATGTCCTACTAAGAAGTAGGGGCATTCCATCTGCATGTTTAAGTATGTGTGTTTAAAAGTGAAAGCATAAATCCGATTATAATTATGTGTTATGGGAACAAATAATCTGAATAATGTAAAAAATGACTATTTGCCTATGTTCATAATGTCCTGTTTACCTATAGCAAATGGACAATGTAAGAAGTGATGGAATGACTGAATCATCTGAGGCTCGAATGAGCCGAATGGAACAAATGCTTGCAGCTTTGACTGAGGCAATGACTCAACAACAACAGGGGCAACAACACTTATCTCCCCCGCCGGTCCAGGTGGAGCCGGATAACAATGATCTCATAAATTTAACTCAGAAGTTCCTGAAGATGAAACCACCGACTTTCCTAGGAGGCATTGAACCGTTAAAAGCCGAAACCTGGTTACTTGAAGTAGAGAAGCTATTTGAAGTGTTCCCTTGTTCTGAGGTTCAAAAAGTTCTCCTAGCCACCTATACTCTAAAAGATGAAGCCCGAAGGTGGTGGTTGCTAATTCGAAGTAGTAATGGGAATATGACGTGGGCACAATTTAATACAATCTTCTATGATAAATATTTTTCCCAATGTTTTTGAGATCAGAAAGTTTCTAAATTCCAAGAACTTAAACAGGGCAGGATGTCTGTGGCTGAGTATGAGGCCAAATTTACTGAGCTGGCCGATTTGCTCCTCATATGGTGGATACCGATTATAAAAAGGCATGAAAATTTGAGAGTGTACTGGATCTAGAAGTGTTTGACCGAGTAGGTGTTTTGAAATTACCTACCTATGTGGAAGTTTTGGACAAAGCAATAATGACAGAGGCCACAATAACAGCAATGAAGCAAGCTAAAGCACCAGTAACATAATGGAAAAGCAAAAGGTCTAGATCTAACCTTCGCAAGGGTTGTTCCTTCTTTATGAAAAGCAAAATACGAGATCTTCAAGCAGCTCTAGCCAGAGTAGTGGATCTGTACCAACTTGCTTCGAGTGTGGAAGGAGGCATAAAGGCATATGTCAACGTGCATTGGGTGCGTGTTTCCGGTGTGGAAAAACCGGTCACATGATTAGAAATTATCCAATGAGGTTTGACAGTGTTAGCCAACCAGCGACAAGTTCAGTGAGGTCTGTTCCTGTAACAAAGGCCAATACTAAAACAAATGCCAGAGGTAATGCTGGAAATGAGACACTGAGACAAGGAAGAGTGTTTGCACTCATCCCTGGAGATGTACAGAACGCCGAAACAGTGGTGTCAGGTATAATTCTTGTCTGTGCTCAGAACGCCTATGTACTGATTATTTCTGGTTCTATACATTCTTTTGTCTCGCATGCTTTTTCTCAGAAATTAACTAGACCAATTGAGCCTGTGAATTGTTTTATATCTATGTCTATACCATCTGGGGGTTGTATGATATGTGCTTATATATACCCGGCATGTGATATTCTAATTGGTGATATGACATTGTATGTTGACTTACTACCCTTGAACATTGATCATTTTGATTGTATCATGGGTATGGATTGGCTGACTAAATATTGTGCTACTATTGATTATGTGAACAAAACCGTCACATTTAAACCACTTGGTATGCCTGAGTTTACCTTCACTGGGAACGGGGTAGTTTCTCCTCCATACTTAATTTCGTTTACGAAAGCCAAGAAATTGTTAAGGAAAGGGTGTCGGGGTTACTTGTGTTGTGCATTAACTGAATCTTTAGATAGCACCGGTGTAGAAACCATTCCTGTGGTTTGTGATTTTCCTGATGTATTTCCTAATGATCTACCTGGGGATCTAGTAGATAGGGAAATTGAATTTACCATCGATGTAATGCCTGGAACACAACCAATCTCCAAGACTCCATACAGGATATCGACTTTTGAATTGAAAGAGTTGAAGATCCAACTTCAAGAACTTATAGACAAGAAATTCATCCGCCTGAGTACCTCACCTTGGGGTGCCCCAGTTTTATTTGTTAAAAAGAAAGACGGATCTTTGAGACTATGTATTGATTATCGGGAATTGAACAAGATGACCATTAAGAACAAATATCCATTACCCTGAATAGATGATTTGTTTGATCAACTCCAAAGAGCCAAAGTGTTCTCTAAAATTGACCTTAGGTCCGGTTATCATCAGTTAAAGGTTAAAGCAGAAGACGTAGAGAAAACTGCATTCAGGACTAGATATGGACATTATGAATTCTTAGTAATGCCTTTTGGGGTAACAAATGCACCTATAGCTTTTATGGATCTAATGAATAGGGTTTTCAAACAATATCTCGATGAATTCATTGTTGTGTTTATTGATGACATTTTGATTTACTTTAAAGACAGGGAAGAACATGGGAACCATCTGAGGACTACCTTGTAGATTTTGAGAGAAAAGAAATTGTATGCTAAATTGTCCAAATGTGAATTCTGACTTGACAGTGTAGCATTTTTGGGGCATGTAATCAATAAGGATGGTGTCTCTGTTGACCCTTAGAAAATTGAAGCTATTGTGGATTGGCCTAGACCGGCATATGTAACAGAAGTTAGAAGTTTTCTGGGATTGGCTGGTTATTACAGAAGGTTCGTAAAAGACTTCTCAAAGCTTGCAATGCCATTAACACAATTGACGCGGAAGAATGTACAGGTTGATTGGAATGACTAACGTAAATCAGCTTTTCAAGAATTGAAAACCAAACTGGTGACTGCACCAATCCTAACCTTACCTAATGGTACTGATGGGTTTCAAATTTTCAATGATGCTTCGTATAAAGGATTAGGCTGTGTGCAGATGCAAAATGGAAAGGTAATTGCTTATGCTTCTCGATAGCTTTGTCCTCATAAAAAAATTACCCAACCCATGATCTTGAACTAGCAGCTGTGGTGTTTGCCTTGAAAATCTGGCGCCACTGCTTATATGGGGTAACTTATGAAATGTATACCGATCATAAAAGCTTGGAATATTTCTTCACCCAAAAGAAATTGAACATGAGACAGAGGCGATGGTTAGAGTTAATCAAAGATTATGATTTGCAGATTTTGTATCACCCAGGGAAAGCTAATACCGTAGCAGATGCTTTGAGCCGAAAATCAATGGGAAATTTGTCATGTTTGCTTACCAACGAAAAAGAACTGTTACATGACTTAGAAAAGAATGAGATTGAGATTGTGATGCGTGAACAGGACGGGACACTAGCCGCTATTTCCGCTCAACCTGCAATCATTGAAGAGATCAAAGAGACGCAACTTGAAGATGAATACTTGAAAAAGGTTGTAGAAGAACTTGATTCAAAGCCGAGGGCAGGGTTTGTATTTGAGAATAATGTGCTGAATTTCGAAATCCTCTTTGTGTACCTAATTGCTGTGACTTGAGAAAGCATGTTATGTCTGAAACTCACAATACTAAATTTGCTATGCATCCAGGGAATACAAAGATGTACCAAGACTTGAAACAAAATTTCTGGTGGCCCGGAATGAAAAAGTGTATTACAGATTTTGTGGCTAGATGTTTACATTGTCAACAAGTCAAAGCTGAACATCAACGACCCACTGGTTTGTTGCAGCCACTTCCAATACCGAAATAGAAATGGGAGCACATTACCATGGATTTCATTGTGGGATTGCCTTGCTTTTCTCACGGTATGGATTCTATTTGGGTTATAGTTGATCGTTTGACTAAGTCTGCTCATTTTCTGTCTGTCAAAACTATTTACAGTGCGGATAAGTTGGCTAACATGTATGTGAATGAAATTATGAGATTGCATGGTGTACCAGTATCTATTGTATCCGACAGAGATTCAAAGTTTACATCGAGATTCTAGCAAAGTTACAACAGGCTTTAGGGACAGAATTGAGATTACGTAGCGGCTATCATCCACAGACAGATGGTCAAACTGAACGAACCAACCAAACCTTGGAAGATATGCTCAGAATGTGTATGTTAGATTTCCAAGGAAATTGGGAGACTTATTTGCCATTAGCTAAGTTTGTGTATAACAACAGCTACTATTCAAGCATTGGGATGGCTCCTTATGAAGCTTATATGGAAGAAAATGCCGATCTCCGATATGTTGGGCTGAGGTAGGTAACAGACCATTGCAGGGGTCAGAACTTGTGCAAGAAACCACAGAAAATGTGAAATTGATTCAGCAAAGGTTGAAAACTGCTCAGAACCGACAAAAGAGTTATGCTAACGTTCGAAGAAGGGACAGAGAATATGAAGTTGGAGACCATGTGTTCATAAAAGTGACCCCTATGAAGGGTCAAACTCAGTTTGGTATACAAGGAAAGTTGGCACTAAGGTATGTTGGGCCATATGAAATCCTTGAAAAGATCAATTCGGTAACTTATCGGGTGGCCTTGCCTCCAGTAATGGAGCATATGCACAATGTATTTCATGTCTCTATGCTTCGAGAGTATCTGAGAGATCCGTTACATGTGATTGAGCCAACTCACGTGCTTTTAAAAGAAGATTATACTTACGAAGAAAGACCTATTCAGATTATGATCCACCGGATCAAAAGATTGAGGAACAAGGAAATACCACTAGTAAAAGTTGATTGGCAGAACCATGGGGGAACTTATGCTACCTAGGAAACCGAAGAAGACATGATGAAGAGATACCCTGAGTTGTTCCCTCTGAATCTGGTATTCTTCCAAACCGAAGGTAACTCGAGTTTGGAGGACCAAACTTTTTTAAGGAGGGAAGACTGTAACAAACCCAATTCTTGATTAATGTTAATCCATGGTTAATTATGCTTAATTGACAAGTAAGGTGAAATTCTAAATTAAAGTGCATGTGTGTGTTGCATAAAGTATGTCTATATCTGTTTAATGTAGGAAAATCTGTTTATGTTTTTCTTTCGGTTTGCAAATTGAAGGCTTTATCGGCATCCGAATCAGAAATTGGCTTAATTTATGTGCTAGTTAAGATTTATAGAATTTTATGGTAGGCTCAATTGAAATTCGATTTGGAACGATTAAATTAGATTCAACTAATGTCCACTAATTAACCTTTATTAAGCACACTTTTGTTTAATGGCCTAATTAAGGCCTTGGTGGCCTCATTGAACACAAAAACGCTTCCACTCACTCCTTTCTTCATCTACATACATCTTTGAGTCCTCTAAGACCCAAAATGTGAGAGAGAGTGAGAGGAGGGAGAATTCATCCAAGACTTGAGAATTTGAACTCAAACCAAAGAGGTGCTAGGAATTGTTATCCATTGAAGAAGATTTAAGGGCCTCAACCTCAACCCTTGTAGCTTTAAGCCTCTAGGTAAGGAATTGAACTCTTAATTAAGTAATTGATGTAGATTCTACAAGATTATTGGTGAATTAAGCGAATTCATGTAGGAATTGCACTAGAATTGGAAAGAATTGGGCCATACCATGCATGCATGTACATTTTCTCACAAATTGAGCATGATTTCAAAGATTTCTTTCATGCATGTGTTCATCTCACTTACATTGTCGGAGTTCATCATGTTTTCCATCAATTTGCCAAATTTGATCTTATTTTGAATTGTTTGAATTCAAGGGAGTTCATGCATGTTGTATTCATGAAATATTCATAAAGTTTATGTTAGAATTTTATGCAATTGACAAACTCTTGGGCCATAATTTTGTGAAATAATCCTCAATTCATCACGTTTTACAAGTTTACTGTTATCTCAAGTTTTGGGGCCCAAGAGATGTGTTTTGAAGAGTTGAATTCGTGTTTTGAAGCTTGGGAGAAAATCTGGAAAACCCAGAATTTTGCTTCCACGCTCGAGCAAGGGATCCTACGCTTGAGCGACCATCTTTGTTTTCATGCTTGCGCTCGAGCGATAAAAGGTTGGCTCGAGCGTAAATTGCAAGCTCTCAGAATTTTTGCGTATGTAAAAGCACGCTCGAGCGAGACCCCTGTTTCAATAAAATTTTGGCTAAGTGTTTCAAATACATTTTTGCATCCTCATTCCATCCTAAGCATTCCTAGGCCATGATTAAGACTCCATAATGAGATGAAAGACTAGTAACACACTAAGAACAAATAAAGTAAGTTATGCACAATCTGAGCGTTTACGTTCAATGTATGAATCTACCATGTTATGTAGGTCACGCGCCTCGAAATAAGTGAATTGCTTACCTTGCTGTCAAGTTGGAGCTACCAATTATCTGTGAGTAATAACTTAGTAAAGTTATGTTCAAGTAAATTATTTTATGCTCACGGATTAAGGACTGTTTTATGAAATGTTATGTTTTATGCTATGAATGATTGTCCAAGTCCAACAAGCAATTATGACATAATGCTATGATCCAAGTATATGCAAGTTCCCGGTCCAGAGGTCCCTTATGGGACTGACAAGCCATCTATGCCCGGCTGGAGGTTCCTTAGTGGAACTGACAAGTTTACAAGTTCCCAGTCCGGAGGTCCCTTCATAGGACTGACACGTTATTATTACCCGGCCGGAGGTTCTTATATAGAACTAACAAGTATGATTTAAGATATTCTGTGTGTGATCTATCAGCGCTAATGGATGTATTATGTAAGACTAAGCATGAACTCTGAATTCTATATATGCTCAGAATAAGAATATGAATATGAATTTCAGTTTCAGCCATAATTATGGGACATCATTCATTAAAGTCTTTACTCTGTTATTATTTACTCACTATTTATATTATATATGTAGGTGAGCAGGCACACGACCAGGCCCAGAGTTGACGGCCTAAGTTCTGTTTATGTCAGCCAACCCTTGCGCCTCCTGAGAAGGTTCTGGATGAAGTCAAGATTTGTGGTTGTTTTTGTATAATCATGTTAGACTTTGTTTGTTTGTTAAGTATTAGATAAGATGTCTGTTAATACACTACTAGAAGTGATATGTATAGGTTATTTCTCTCAACATCACTTATATGTTTATAAAAGTTTTAAATGATGCGTATCATGTACGTCTTCACAGCTTAATTGGCTGTATATTTATTTCGTATATTTGCTTCCGCAACCCCTAACTTTATGTTAATCAGTCAAGAGGCCTTTGGTAATCCAAGGATTATTGGCCGATTACGACGCTAAACCTGTAGCGGCAGGTTCGGGTCGTGACATCTCTGCTACAACCCCTCCTTTTCGGAGGTTCTCGACTGAATTTCGACTAGCTATATTACCTCCATTTCTCCTAATCAACTTTTTCCTCTGTTTTACCTCTCCTCTTTTCAAACCAGTGTTTCTTAGAATGAAAGTGGGTTGAATAGATGGTGAATCAACCCCGATGTCTTGGCCCAAAGACAATGAATTATCTAAGCCCACTGTAATGGACTTACTTCTACTTTCAATAGGCTTATTTGTTAACCCAACCAATTTAACTTCCAATTTTATTCCATCTTTATCAGGCCCATCTCCACTAAGGCTTCTCATGTACCCATTAACAGCTTCCTCCTCTTCCTCACTGACGTCATTAATTAGTTGTTCAGCATTAAAAATCTGTTGGTTGATTCCTTCACATGCATTAACCACCATACGACTTCCCAAGCCCACGCCCGCCATTTCTTCCACTACCGATGTACAACAATCAACCGGTAGTACTTGTACCACCTCTGCTACTTTGTGAGCCATCTCAGCCCTAGAAGATTTTAGCCCATCAGTACACGTGTTCATCTTAATTTGGATAGAATTTTCCACCACAGTAGCTTCCTTTTCTGGAAGCATACCATGTCCATCATCCTGACCTTCCAACCCTACTACACTGCAAAGATCCTCCCTCATTTGGACTGATAAACACTTATATGATCCACTAAGTGTTTTGGTTACCATGACTTGCTCTTCGCAAACTCTAATGCTGTGTTTGGTTGGGGTTTTTGGGGTGGGATTTGGAAAAGGAATGAGAAATGTAATCCTATTTATGTTTGGTTATAATAAAAAATATATGGGAAAAGAAAGGGGGTGAGAAATAAATAAAGAAATAGGAGACCTTTTAGGACATCAATTCTATTTTATAACCAACACAACCAAACATAGTTGGGATTTGGAATTCTATTAATTCTTTCTCCTTTTCCTTTCATTTCCATTTCCCTTTCCATTTCCCTTCCCAAATCCTCCAACCAAACACAGCGTTAAAGAATTGCTAATTGTGACATTTATTTTGTGAGGATCAAATTCTACATGGTATGGCGATAAGCATTCTTACAACAACTATCAACCGCTAATCACTATTGAAAATCCTTTTTCTTGCTTGATTGATTAGATTCACTTTTTTTTGGAGATAAGCTCTCCTCCATAATTGCATTTCTTCATATTCATCTATACTCTTCTTGTGGGTCCAAATTCGAACTTACATTGATGATCTGAATCGTTTACTTTGTAACTTCTGTAAAAAAGGTCATCCATACAAAAAATTAATTTTATCGGACATCTATAAACACAAGAACAAATCACATTTTATTTTATAGAATAAATAGCAAATAAGATTATAAATTTAAATAATTCATTTTGTAAAATAAAACGTAATTTGTTTGTATTTATAGTTGTCAGATAAATTTAATTTTTTGTATGAATAACCTTTAAAGTGAAGCCTATGAAGTAGATGGTTTAAATCATCAAAGTAAATCTGAATTGAGGCCTACAAGAGAGAATGGAGGGGAGCGTATCCCCACTTTTGGACTGTCAACTAGGGAAAATTATTTTGTTGGTCTTTGGGCAAATCCGTGTGACGCTTCAATTTGATATTTATTGATTAAAACATTAGAACTTTTTTGTTTAGATAGTCAAAACAATAGAACTTAAGACCACCAAATTGAGTTTTTGAGAGTTAATTTAACAAATGTCAAGTGATAAATGGTGTGAAATATTGTTTTAAGACCATCAAATGATCTCTCGTCAAATAAGCAATTAGGCGTAATTTCACTTTAATATCTTTTAAAAGTACCCCTAATATCTTTGAATGATATTATATTTGATTTTTCTTGATGGTCCAAACCATACTATTGTAAGCATTACTTATTTTCAATGTGAAAAAGTTTCACTCACACTAATAGCTGATGTAAAGGGGCTATCGACTTATCAAGGAATGCTATCGAATCCAAAAAGTTTTACATAAAGTTTGCTAACAATCAAAATCAACACTAATTTTTTTCTGCTCATCTAAATAAATGACAAAATACTCAACACATTATTATTATTATTATTATTATTATTATTATTGTCGTCGTGGTCTGTCATTTATATATATATATGAGATAATTCATTAATACATTATGAGAAATATCTCAAATTGAACATTGATTATTCTATTCTTAAGTCATGTTTGTTTGGACACATTAGATTGGGATTAGCATGCCTAGGACTGTTAGTCATAAGATTATCAATCCATTTGAATTGTATAGCATATTTCATTTTTGTATTGATTTAAGATTATAAGTATTGACAAGATCCAATCAATTTTATAATTTAATTAATTAATATGAACTTCTCCTTAGTCTTCCATTTTGCATATCACTCCTCTCTGGGCATTCAATAGTACCCCCATATGGGGGATACTGGGCTTGTTTGGTTTGATTTTGGGAGATGAGTTTGGGAGATAAAAAGTACGAAAAGTTGTTTGGTTTGATTTTTTTGGAAAG